GTCAATTAAATGTTATTAATGGGAGGTTAAATTTTCTATTAGTTCAGAGACAAAGTCAAATTTCAAATTCCAAGGTTCACACTAATATCACCCATATGATTTATTCTACTTTTTTTAAAACCTCAGTTTATGCAGCAGTAAAATGGGCTGAAAACAGTCTCATTTCTTCTAAAATGGGCAGGAAGATTAAAGAATGTCTTCAAAGTAAATAGCAGGGTAAAAGATTGTAACTTCTAATTCCTGATAGAAGACTACTAACTTTTCATTTACATAAATTTGGTTGTAACTAATTTGGCCAAAAAATAGGAAATAAAACAAACTAAAGAATAGGCCGCTTTTTTATACCTTCTCTAGTTTTCACTGTACCCAACTGTCTTTCAGTGATTATAATAGTCTTAGCTCTTAATGAACATATTATTATAAAAATGATACTCACTTAGATGGAGACCCAAACCCCCTCAGATTCTTTTTTCATCAAAATTCCAATTTCCCATTAAGAACTAAAGGAAAAAATACCTTAATAACAAATTTAACCTAAGAAAGATTCAGTCTTGGCATAATGTATTCAGAGAAAGAGTAGAGTAACCCAAACCTAAAAATAAGTATTTAAATTCTTTACTCAGTCTCTCCAAATGTCAAAAGGAAAAGTGAACTCTTGCCGTGCTGTGAAGACCTAGAAAATTCTCTCTTCTTGTAACTTTCCCTGTTAATTTACTTCACAGGTATGGCAGCTACTCCCAGAAACCTATCTCAGAGTTCTGACCAGATCACCAACCCACTGAGATCTCACTCACTTTATTATGCAGGTTAATAGATCAATTTAATCTTTGTGGGTTTCTGCCTTTAAGCTAACCCTCTACCCAAATTCTCCACAAAAAAAGAAGCACAGAGAACTCAAAGAAGAGTCCTGATACTTTAGAACTTCTTCTTGAAGTTAGATCAGGAGTTATTATGCATAATATATACATAAGTTTATTTGGTTAACAGTTTTCCTTCTGGTTGATAAATCTGTAGATCCACAAACAGCATTCCTGATATTTGTTGCTCATTCAATTGTTTCTGGTAGTTATATGTTCTACCACCTACTCCTCCACTGACACTGACTGGCTAAGTGAGCTTGTCTTCTGCCCTCGTAGCCTTTCTAGCTAAAGGCAGCCATGCTCCAGCCACCGTCTCTGTCCTGGTAGGGGAGAATGGACACGTTCACGAGGCATGGTCTCTCACAGCCACTAACTGCCAACTGAGGCAAAAGTGAGACTGTCACAAACTACCAAGTGTGTGGCTGCTTACCAATTACCAAGTATTTGTGTAATCTAGCTGAAGTCATTAAATTTGTACTTTCTTTTGGTAGGGTACACGAAACACTGGAGTCTGAGCGGCTGAATATAACCATGATTTACCTGTTTTAGGTAGATATTAAACAATGGAGAGCAACTTGAGCCTGGTGCAGCAGTTGGGGTGTGGTTCATCTGAGAGGAAATATGGAACCCCTTTATTGCTATTTAGCAGGAATTTGTCTGTAGAAATTTCACCTTCAAAAGGCAAAAAAAAAAAAAACCCACCTGCCTCAAGTCTGCTCTAGGTTTTCTTTTTTTTAATCTTTTCTTCCATGATAGCTTCTTACTTTCCTTATACTGAAGGAACTTCACCAACAGCAAGGATTCAGGAATAACTCCCTCAGAAATAAGACGCGGAAGAAAAGGACAGTTTATTACTCAGAGCAGTAGCAGTGGCTGGAGCATTTCCATTGGGTCATAAGAAGAGGCCCAGGTGATACCTGCACATTCAGTGGGAGCCTTAAAGGAGAATTCCTGAGTGAGGGAATGCAAATCTTTTTTGATGGGAGGTAGCATGACTGACTTTATCATAGAGGGAGGGAGACATATTTTTATTATAATAAAGAAAAAAAATCTCTGCCCTTTGCTCTAGTGAGAGTCTTAATTTCTCTCTTCCAAAGTTGTTCATTTATATAAACATTCCTGAAAAGATAGTCTGGAACCACTAGTCAGTGCCTGTATTCACAAGACTTTCCAAAACACAAGAGACTTTGTGATTACAAAGTACATAGGTGTGTATATGAAATTGTATAGTACATATACAATATTATATGCATAAAAATACATAAAAGCAGCAAACAATAACATTGCATTATTTTTTATATGGTGCAAAAATAATTTGTTTGGTATGGGTATTCCTCATCTACCATGCTCCATGTAAACACATTACGTAAGTAAAAAAATGAAATTGAGACCCTCCTCATAAAGAGACATTGAAAGTGTTACTCATATAATTGTAATATTTTCTGATAATTTTGGTGGACAAACCTGAGAGAGCAAACCCAGTTTTTATGGTTCTGCATTTTAAAGTAAAGACTTAGTTTATCATGAAGATACTGATTAAAATATAGATGTAGCTAGTGTTAGTCATAAAAACAATATAGAAACATGTTTGTAATAGTACCATGTACCCCCTGTGATATAGGTATGACCATAAGCTCCATTGTGAGATGATTACAAAAGAGAAATAGGAATGAAGAAAAATAAGAGATACAATGACATCTGAAAGCCCAACAATGCTGCTGTCAAAGTTGAAGTTGAGAACAGATCTTCTTTAAAGGGTCTCTTTCTCAGGTATAATTCCGATACAGTCAGAGAAAGGAAATGTAGCCATATCAAGCAAGCTGAATAGCAAAAAGACTGGGGTGGGTTTGATTTTGGTGCCCAGCATCCCTGCTAGTTAGTTTCCTTCCTAAATCATATTAATCGACTTAATTATCCATATAATTAAAGGAATTACAATGTGCCAGAATGTAATGCAGTTTTAAGTCATTAAGTAAAATAATTTGTTGTTAAATTTTATAAACAAAATATTAAAAACCAAGACATATTGTATTTCTAGCCCTCAATTAACTGGAATTTTTAATAGCAAATAACTCAGGTTTGCCATGTCTTTTCTGAAATAAAATTTCTTGCCTGCTCTTTTTGGGCCTGCCTTTTTTTTTTTAACTATATCTAACTAAAAGCAGCTACTCATATATTTTGGTCAAAACTATTTTGGATGCATATCACCACAACCATAAAAAAAAATGAATAGATTTGAATGAAGATTTTTCTGGTTGGGTCATTCATCCCTCACCAGGGCAAAGAGAATTACTTCATTTAATAGGAGGCACTTACTTAACATTTCAAAATGTAATGACAAATATTTATTACATATGTATTATGTGTTTTCTTATATATGACTACAATAGAATTTGGATAATCCTGTCACATCTCTCCATCAGTTCTAGATACCAGCTTATGAGAAAGCTAAAGAGAAATACAGGGCCACACAAGGAGAATTAAAAGTACTGGGCTAAGTTAACACTCACAGGAAAGGCTGAAAAACAGTAGGCTTGTAAACCAATGCTTTAAGCATCCTAATAATTAAATATTTCTCAACATTACTTTCACTATTAAAACATTCTATTTTGTTGTTGGTTGCTTGTAATGGTCAAATTTTTGGTCTAATTTATATGGCTTATAACTTTAAAAAACTAAAAATCTACTTTATTGAGATATAGTTTACATATAACAAAATTACTTATTTTAAATACATTACAATTACATGAATTTTGACAAATGTACACATTCATATACACAGCACTACAAACCAAAGTATAGAACATTTCTATCACCCAAAAAAGTTCCCTCATGCCCTTTTGAAGTCAATCACCTTTCTCAAATCCTTAGCTCTATGCAACCACTGATGCACTTTCATTCACTATGGAATATTTTGCTTGTTGTAGAATTTCACATAAGTGAAATCATATTGTACACATTCTTTTGTATCTGCTTTCTTTTGCTTAGCATGATGTGTTTCAGATTCCTTCAACTCAATTGGGTTAACCAGTAGTTAATCTTTTTTTTTTCCAATTACTAAGTAGTATTCCATTGTATGAACTGTATGAATGCGATGTAATTTGTTTTACCTTGTTATCCACCTTATGATAGATGCTTTGGTTGTTTCCATTGTGGGACAGTTTGAATATATGTGCTGTGAATATTTTTGTATGTCTTTTTGTGGACTTAGGTTTTTAAAATTCTTTAAGGCAGATATCTAGGAATGGAATTGCTGGGTTATAGGTACATACATATTGAACTTTAGTTAGTGTATTGGTTTGTGCCTTTTATGTCCTATATAAGATTCTCTATCTATCCAAATATCAAAAGATTTTCTTTCATGTTATCCTAGAGTCTGTTTTAGCTTTTGTGTTTAGGTCTATAATTATATCAAATTAATATTTCATTTAGTACAAGATAAGGGTTGAGATATCATATTTCTATATAGATATCCACTTGCTTAATGAAAATTTGTTTAACATACTCATTGAGGTAATTTGGTAACTTTTTCAACCAATCATTGCCCAGATAGATGTATATCTGTTTTTAAGCTATCCTTTTCATTTCAACTACATGATTATCCTTACCATTAACACAGTGTTGAAATTATAGTAGTTCCACTTTAAAAACAGTTCTTTGCTGTTTCAGGTTCTTTGCTTTCATAATAAATTTGAAATCAGTTTGTCACATTCTACAAAAAAGACTACTGAGATTATAATTATGATTGTGTTGAATTTATAGAAAAATTTGGTGAGAATTACCATCCCAGTTTTATTGTCTTCTAATTCATAAAGATGATGTAACTATTTATTAAGATCTTTATCTCAACTGTGTTTTTTAACTATCAGTGTGCAGGTCTTATAAATATTTAGAAAAATTTGCAATTAAATATTGTATCTTTCAAATGTCCTTATAAATAGCATTTCTGATACTCATTTTTCAGTTGTTTACTCCTAGTACATAGAAATACAATTGATTTTTTATATAGTGATTTTGCATCCCATGACCTTGACAAAGTTGCTTTTCAGTTACATTGTTTTTTTCCCTAGATTATTTGATTGTAGAAAATAAGTTATAGTGCAACCTGTGAATAAAGACAGTTTTTGCTTCTTCTTTCAGATATTTATGCCTCATATCTTTTTCTTGCCTTTTTTCACTGGCAAGCATCCCATACCAAGTTGAGGTAAGAGCCATCATCTTTATTTTGTTTTGTATCTTATGGGGAACATATTCTGTGTTTTACAGTTAATTATGAAAGTAACTGGAGGTTTTCTACAGATCCTCTTTATCAGTTTTAAAGAGTTACTTTCTATTCCGAGTATTTTTTTAATCAATGAATATTAAATGTGATCAAATGCATTTTCTACAACTATCATTATTTTGACCCTTCTCCTTTATTCTGTTATATACTGAATTTCATTGATAGATTTTTGAAGGATAAACCAAGTCACACACCTAAATTAAACCTTACTTGGCCATGATGTATATTCCTATAATGTCGGATTTGGTTGACTAACATTCTGTTAAGAATTTTGGTATCTATGTTTATAGGAACTATAGATGTTTAAGTTTTCCTCTATTGCTTTGTTTTGTTTTGTTTTTGGTCTTGCTATCAGGATAATAAGGTAAAATGTCTAATAGAGTATGCCAATGAAGTCTTCTGGGCATGTTTTTGAGTGACATATTTTTAACTGTGAAATCAATTTATTTAGTAGATCTTTCCTAGTGCTTTTTATTTCAGCCTGTGTCTTAGGAAGAGTTTGTACATTTGGTTATAAATTACCATATTTCTTGGTGTAAAGTTGTTCATTATATTCCCTATTACCTTATAGTTTGTGTGGCATCTGTAGTGATATCTTCTATTACTTTTCTAATATGAATCATCTGTTTTCTTTTTTCTGAATGAATCTAAGTATATGTACATAAAATTTATGGACTCTTTTAAAAAACAGCTTTAGTTAATTGGTGTTCTCTATTGTTTTTCTATTTTTTTACTTCATTAGTTTCCCCTCTTATTTTTACTTCTACTTTTTTGTATTTAATCAACTTTTTTTTTCTAACTTCTTAATATGGGAGCTTCACTCATTTGTTTTAAAAATCTTTTTAAAAGTAAGCATTTAAATTTATGAATTTTCCTTTAAGCATTGCTTTATCTGAATTCCAAAAATTATAATATCATTTTTCCTTTTCTGTTTAGTTTAAAGTATTTAAAAAAATTCCCCTGGAATATTTACAAATGTATCATTTAATTTAATAATATTTGGGGACTTTCCAAAAATCTTTTTATAACCTGACATAATTGACATCATGTCTGTTCTGTGTTTTGGGTTACACATGCCATCTCTTGTGCAGACTAAAAGGTTGTGAATTTTGGGACGTGAAAATCAGTGGAGCTGTCTTTGAGACTGGCTACCACAGATGTGTAACCTATGCATTACGTTTTCCTTTCATTATTATATATGATCTCTCTTTATGTCTGAAATTATTTCTTGTTGTGAATTACACTGTCTTATGTTAACATAGCCACTGTAGCTCTCTTATGATTAGTGTTTTCATGCTACATGTTTTTACATATTTTCCATTGAAATTATCTGTTTCTTAGTATTTAAATTGGGTTTCATGGACATGGTAAAATTGGGTCTTGATTTTTTTCATCCTTTTGCCTTTTAATTGATTCTTTTGAGTATTCTTTTTTATCTCTACTATTGTCTTTCACTTAGAGTCATCTTCAAATATATTATAAGAATGACTTTGAGTCATCTTCAAATATATTACTTAATATATAATGTAGAAGCCTTTCTATTCCCCACTTCTCTTTTGTGCTATTGCTGTCATGTGTCTTACTTCCCTAGATATTATTAATCTCAGATACATTGGTGTTTTTACTGTAGAGTCAATTATATTTTAAAGTTATCTAAAAGAAGAGGAAAAAATACCAAATACCTTTTTATATTTCCCAAGGTATTTACCATTTCTGGAAGTCTTCATTCCCTTTGCATGAATCCAAATTTCAACTTAGATCATTTTCAGGTTCAAGTATACATTTGGATCATTTTTCTTCAGTCTAAAGAATTTCCTTTATCTTTTTTGATAGTGCATATCTATTGAAAATTAATTTTTCTTGACTTTGGCTTAAAAGCATCTTTGTTTTTTACTTTTGAATGATAAATATTTACTAGCTATAGAATGCCAGGGTAATAGAGCTTATTTAAAGTTTTTTTCACTTTAGCCTATAAATGATAGAACATTGAATTATCTTCTTACTTGTTTTGTATGAAATACCAGTAGTACTTAATATCTTTGCTTCCCTGTTTGTACTGTGTGTTCTTTTCTTAGATGCTTTTAGGATTATTTCTTGATTACTGACTTTTGGAATTTTGATGATGATGTACCTTGATATAGATTTCTTTATGTTTATTTTATTTGGAAATGGTTAATTTCTTGTATCTATGAATGTGTTGGTTTTTTCAAATGGGTCAAAT